ACAGTGTGGTACTGAGCTGTAGTGAGGTCACTAGTTGCAGGCACTTAGTGGTGGTACAGTTGATAGTGCAGTGTTGGCACAGGCTGTGAGAGGTAGTCACTAGTTACGGAGGTATAGTGGTGGTACGGTTGATGGTACGGTGTGGTACTTACAGGCTGTAGTAGTCACTAGTTGCAGTACTTAGTGATGGTACAGTTGATGGTACAGTGTGGTACTGAGCTGTGGTAGTCACTAGTTACGAGTACTTAGTGGTGGTACAGTTGATGAATGCGATTGTGGTACTGAGCTGTGGTAGTCACTAGTTACAACAGTGGTGGAAGGTACAGTTGATGGTACAGTGGTACTGAGCTGTAGTAGTCACTAGTTTACAGTACTTAGTGGTGGTACAGTTGATGGTGCAGTGTGGTACTGAGCTGTAGTAGTCACTAGTTACAGTACTTAGTGATGGTGCAGTTGATGGTACAGTGTGGTACTGAGCTGTGGTAGTCACTAGTTACAGTACTTTAGTGATGGTACAGTTGATGGTACAGTGTTGTACTGAGCTGTGGTAGTCACTAGTTACAGTACTTGGTGGTGGTACAGTTGATGGTACAGTGTTGTACTGAGCTGTAGTAGTCACTAGTTACAGTATAGTGATGGTACAGTTGATGAGTGCGGTGTTTGTACTGAGCTGTGAAGTGGTCTGGTTTACAGTACTTGGTGATGGTACAGTTGATGGTACGGTGTGGTACTGAGCTGTGGTAGTCACTAGTTTTAATTATGAGTGGTGGTACAGTTGATGGTACAGTGTGGTACTGAGCTGTGGTAGTCACTAGTTACAGTACTTAGTAGTGAGTACAGTTGATGGTACAGTGTGGTACTGAGCTGGGTAGTCACTAGTTTTAATTACTTAGTGGTGGTACAGTTGATGGTACGATTGTTGTACTGAGCTGTGGTAGTCACTAGTTACAGTACTTAGTGGTGGTACAGTTGATGGTACAGTGTGGTACTGAGCTGTGGTAGTCACTAGTTACAGTACTTAGTGGTGGTACAGTTGATGGTACGGTGTTGTACTGAGCTGTGGTAGTCACTAGTTACAGTACTTAGTGATGGTACAGTTGATGGTACAGTGTGGTACTGAGCTGTGGTAGTCACTAGTTACAGTACTTAGTGGTGGTACAGTTGATGGTACGGTGTTGTACTGAGCTGTGGTAGTCACTAGTTACAGTACTTAGTGGTGGTACAGTTGATGGTACAGTGTGGTACTGAGCTGTGGTAGTCACTAGTTACAGTACTTAGTGATGGTACAGTTGATGGTACGGTGTTGTACTGAGCTGTGGTAGTCACTAGTTACAGTACTTAGTGGTGGTACAGTTGATGGTACAGTGTGGTACTGAGCTGTGGTAGTCACTAGTTACAGTACTTAGTGGTGGTACACTTGATGGTACAGTGTGGTACTGAGCTGTGGTAGTCACTAGTTACAGTACTTAGTGATGGTACAGTTGATGGTACGGTGTTGTACTGAGCTGTGGTAGTCACTAGTTACAGTATTTAGTGGTGGTACAGTTGATGGTACAGTGTGGTACTGAGCTGTGGTAGTCACTAGTTACAGTACTTAGTGGTGGTACAGTTGATGGTACAGTGTGGTACTGAGCTGTGGTAGTCACTAGTTACAGTACTTAGTGGTGGTACAGTTGATGGTACAGTGTGGTACTGGTAGTCATGTATACTTAACTTATTGACCACATTGTTATTAAAGGTTGAGTTAATATAATAGTATAATAAACACCTTTATCAGATATAGTCTATGTTGATGTGTTAAGTCAGTCAGTCTGTAAAATACCTGTTAAAATGTTCTGTTTCATGAAGTTTATGTTGTGCATAGGTTAGGTTAGGCCAGGTCAGAGCAGGTTAGGTTAGGTTACGTCACGTCAGGTTAGGTTACGTCAGGTTAGATAAAGTTAGGTTAGGGTAGATATAGTTAGGTAAGGTTAGGTTATGCAGCTGAGAACTGCAAATATTTTCATTAATCTTCAGACTGAACTAAACTTAATCTAACCGAACCTATCTTTATCGACCCTAACCTAACCTGCTCTGACCTGGCCTAACCTAACCTAACCTAACCTAACCTAACCTAACCTGCTCTGACCTGGCCTAACCTAACCTCACCTAACCTGCTCTGACCTGGCCTAACGTAACCTAACCTGCTCTGACCTGGCCTAACCTAACCTAACCTGCTCTGACCTGGCCTAACCTAACCTAACTTTATCTACCCTAACCTGACCTATACACAAAATAAACATGACATGCAACATTTTCACAGGTATTTTACAGGCTGCCTGATTGACATATTGACTATAAGCTACTGTATATATTATTTAGAAGTACACTCGTGTATTTGGTAGTTTACCTTACATTGTGTGTACATTATTACCACACAGAGAAGATTGAGAACATTTCGATAGAATATTGTTCCTCACGTGTTGCCCACATCCTAATATATCCTTTATTATAATCCTCACCGCCCCGTTCACCCCACACCGCCCCGTTCACCCCACACCGCCCCGTTCACCCCCGTTCACCCCCCACCGGGGCGCCCCGTTCACCCCTCACCGCCCCGTTCACCCCTCACCGCCCCGTTCACCCCTCATCACCCACTGTGTTCCTCTGACTGAGACATTCAAACCTCGTTAGCTTCAACTTGGGGCTCAACTCCTGATGACACAAATTAATTTAATTCAGAGTGATTTTTATTTATTTTTTTACAAAGTGGAAGTTAATTTTGAGGTAAAGGTTATTATTTTGTTATAAGACTGAGAACAAGATATAATGAGGCTTGATTGTTATTGTTGTTGGTGTTTTTCTTGTGACGAGCACCGCAGCGCTCCTGGGCACAGCACTTACAGGTCTTTGGTCGAGGATACCACAAATAAAAACATCACTTCTTTGCCCACCTTAAAACTCAAACCCTCGGCCAGATTTCTGACACAATTCCTAACTTGTGGCTGTGTTGTAGTGATAACTGACATCACTGTAGTATAAGGCAGACACTAAGAGTAACATTAACAGTACAGTTACACATCTTCTTGTCCCCAGCTTAACAAAATTAAGGGATAATGGTTGCCATCAGTTAGTTCTTCTATAGGAGTTACATTTCCAAACTCTAAATTCAAAAACTATTTATAATTTTTTAATAAAACGTCTTTATATAGAGAGGTGTTTCTTGGCCAATAAGTATACAGTATAATTAATATCTCTGTTAGCCAGAATCCCTCAAACCCGGAACTCTCCAATAGCTGGAATTTGAATTTTCTCGGGAAAATCTTTCCCAAAGACATAATTTTCTGGAAATTCCTACTTTTGAAAAGATTTTCGGGGGCACATTTTCCGGAAAATTTTGAGAAAAATTTCCCGATACCCGGAAAATTCCGGGGGATATTTTTTCGGGTTCAAGAAATGACTTACAGTAATGGGAATTTCTGGAAAGTGAGAAAATTTTTCCGTTACCCGAACAATTCCAGAAAATTGCGGGGATGAGGGATTTTTTTCTGGCTTTGAGAGAGTCGTCTTGTTACCCAGAAGTACTCTGCACTAATTGTTCCAGCTAACTGAGATATCACTGTACTTTATCCATTTACTTCAATTTAAATATTTTTGCCCATAATCAAGGAAACAGATGACTGTCTCCATGTTATTAGTTGACTTTCCTTCATTATAATTCCATTAAAAAATATAAACAGTACTACAGTTGTTATTATACATGAAGAAAGGAGCTCCCATACAATATAAATCAACTATTTTTAATGATGTCTTTTGAATCTCACCACACAAAGATTGACCAAGAATAATTAGGTCTGGCCGGCCCGGTACAGTACAGTGTGGGGAAGGGTTTGTATCATGTGTACCTAGAAACATGACGTCTTTGTTGAGTAACAATTAATACAGGATTAGATTAGTCAACAACTTACATGTCACTGAGTTCTTTACAGAGACTTTGTCATAAACAGTGTACTACTGTAGTTTTAATCCATCTTTGTGGTTAAGTGTTAGTTAAAAAGAGGCCGTGTGTGTGTATGAGCAGTTACATAGTTTGTGGTATCTTAACGACCAGATGGATCGTTTGAATCCATACAGGCTTTGGTTGTTGTCTCAGTACTGATGATGAACAAGTTGCACCCTGATGTTTGTGAAGCTGGGGAAGTTATAACTCCTTGTTAGACAGCTTGTTCGTGCTAATGCATTGTGTCTCTCTTGTTAACCTTGTTAGCATTACTCAAAGTGCACGTGAATGTGTGTTTTTGTATATACTCTGTACAGTGTGCACTGTACATGCTCATGCATATGTTCATTTAACACAGTTTAAGCTTGTCTTGGATATTGAAATTTTAATTGAAAGTCGTGATAGTAGTAACGGTTACTGTACATAGCACTTGAGAAGTTATTTAATAAAGCCATACAGTACAGTACAGTACAATACAGTACAGTACAGTACAGTACAGTACAGTACTGTACTGTACTGTACTGTACAGTACAGTACAGTACAGTACAGTACTGTACAGTACAGTACAGTACAGTACAGAGGCAGAATTTCTGCTGCTTCTTAACATTGTTGTTGTGTTAAAACATATGAATGAGTTTCTTAACCAGTCTGAGGCATGTGTCTGGATATACAGTATAAACTAAATGTAATCTCCTACTGAACCCAGTTTGTGTTGGTCAACACGCTTGAGTTATTGTATATAATATTCATGGCAATATCTGCATAGACCAAAGTACAGTACCTGTATAGTTTGATCTGTTTTGAAGTTGTGTGTTGTTAGAGGCTTAATTTATTATTTAGTGAAGTACAGTAATTACTTATATTTTCAAATGCATGAAAGCCAAACTAAGTAAACTTGATTAGTTTTGACCAATTTGTTGTCCTTGGTTAATGATGATGATGATCTGTGCAGAAAATTCAGCTTATATACAAATTTCAAATACTGTATAATTGTTCTCATTCATATTTTAAACCGGCTCAGATGTGCCTTTTGGAGTGGTGGAGGATTCGTCAGGAGGCGGTGGGGAAGCCGCTGGTGATGTGCAGCAGAAACGTTAGCTCGTGGTTCTGGGCTTCGTATGCCGCCATTGGCACATTCCTCTTTGGGTGTGCTTGCTCGCAGCTCTCCACTGACATTGCCAAGTACTCTATTGGACGTTTGAGGCCACATTTTATCAGTGTGTGCATTCCTGACTGGTCACAGGTATGCATCTCATTCTTGTTTGTAGCATAGTTCATGTTCTAAGTATTTTGTATGTATGACTTTCTTTTTATAATCAATACTGTACAATGTTAATATTAGATATGTGTTAATCTATTGGGAGGCTCAGTGCACTTGTTCTCCTCTACCTTAAAGATGAATTTAAAAATGGTTTAGTTTTCAGGCAATAAAATAAAGAGGTGAGAAATAAGGAGCAGTCATTCTGGCCCAAATTATTTAAGGTCAAACTTATTATTAAATCCTGCGTGTGGCTTCTTCTCTGTTCTTTCTTTCTCTCAGTTTTTTTCCTTTCCTCTTTTCTTCTTTCTTTCTTTGACCTCCTTTGAACTCAAAATTTGTTTACCTTCTTGTTATCCTTGATGCCAGAATACTGCACAGTACTGGACACTTGTTACCCGAGTCATATGTGCAGTATTTTTAACGTTCAGTTATATAGATGCTGTGCCGGGTGTGTTGTCTCCAGTGTTTGTTACAAAGAAAGATAAAGTTATTCAATTTCAGCTCAACTGCACTCAAGACTACAGGTATGTTGACCACATCCCCTGCACATCAAGTGAATCATTCCGATTGAAAGAAGCTCGGCTATCGTTTCCCTCCGGACACGCCTCCTTCTCTGCGTTTACCATGATTTACTTAGCTGTAAGTATAGTGTACTTCCAGAGTATTCATCAGAGGTGTTAAGTGAGAACTGGTTGAGGCACTAGAGCTGGGTGGATATAACACTCACTTCCCCTCCTGACCAAACAGTAACTGGTTCATGTGTACAGCAGAGGGTGCACACTAGATACAGTACTGTAGTGTACTTAACTTTATTGTTGCGGAAGTGAAAGGCAGTAGCAGCCATGGTGTCTACTGTATTCACACCGAGTGGACTATTAGTGCTGTGGAACATGTACAGTAGACCCTTGCTGTTCACGAGGGATAGCTTCCCAAAAATGACGAAACTTGGCAAAACCACAAACAGCAACTTATACAATACCTTAGTGCACTAGTATACAGGTATACTGTGTAGGAGAAACTAAAGTCACAATACTGTACTTACATTAGTATGTGGAAGTCTGGAGCTTGATGAAGTGGTGTACTGTACATAGGGAGACATCTGGTTACTGAAGCATAGGTGGATCATCAGGATCATTGGTGGGAGAGGGTGATGCAGTGGTGGAGTGGTGCAAGACCGGGAGGTGGCACATGGCTGGCAGGTGGTGTGTGGCCGGGAGGCGAATGGTGAGGTGGTGGGTGGCTAAACTGTAAACTTTCTGGGTGGTCTGGTGCTTTATCTATAGATAATAACACCTTGAATTCCATCTTCTTGGAAACTAGGTATTTTTCCACTTCCGGGACGAAGCATTTATGGAACCAGTCCAGGAATGCTTGCACAGTTACCCATGACTTTTTGTTGGACTGGCAAAACACTGACGAAAGATTCTTGTTTATTTCCTTTAGAGTGTTTGCTGAGTGGTAAAGCAAGTCAGGCTTGATCATGTGGCCAGCCACATTGCCACAGAAGATGAGCGTCACTCTGTCCTTGGCCGCCTTGAACCCAGAGGCACGCCTCTCCTGCTTGTTTATGTAGGTTCTACCAGGCATAATCTTGTAAAATAAACCGGATTCATCAGCATTAAACACTTGCTCTGGTCCATCGCCTTTCTCTTCTATTATTTTCTTCAGCTTGGCGGTAAATACACCTGCAGCTGTGTGGTCAGCTGATGTGACCTCCCCAGTCAGCTTCACATTATGGAGCGAGAATATTTTCTTAAAATCCTTGAACCAACCTTTACTGGCACCAAGAGTTGGCTCAGTCACTACACCAGCCCCTTCACCACCTGTTGACTCGTACAAATGACCATAAAGACTTTTAGTCTTTTCACAAATCACGTTGCTGTTGATCGGAACATTTTTTTGATGCTGTTCCTCAATCCAAATGTTCAGTGCTTTCTCAGTTATCACTATGTTCTTGTCATCAACAACCTGCGCCACTTTAGCACTTGCAGGACTACTTGCTTGAACAGAATCATAAATTGCTTGTTCATTCTTTCTTGTGTACTGCACTGTGGATTCGTTCACACCGAACAACCGACCAGCCGCGGCAGCACTCGTCCCCTCTTTTAACTTGTCTAATAATTCAACTTTCTTTGTCAGGGTCATCACTGACTTTTGCCTTTTATGTTTCACTCCACTAGCATCACTAGCACTGACACTAGGCAGTCTTTTAGGGGCCATTTTCACAAAGAAACACAAAAGTTTTGAGAGTATGACACAGGATGCTGGGTCACGGGTACTGGGCGAGGGCCAACACAGCGACATGAGACGAGTGGGGTGACTCGTTGTGCTGAGGGAGGAGGCTCACATGCTAGCCACCCGAGCCACCTGCTGCTTACCGCGAATCGTCGAAATCGTGAATCTTAAACCCGCGAATGGGAGGGGTCTACTGTACACCAAACCCAACACTCTTATTACCAGTTTTATTTAGTACAGTACTGTAGTAATTTAACAGGTAAATTACTGCTGAGTGTCATAGCTTCAGTACATTGTATGACTAGTGGAAACCAATTTTGCAACAGTATTGTAAAATTGGCTTAAGATTCAGAGATTGTCTAAAATTTTAAGAAATAGGAATACTGAACTGAACTGTAAGCATATGCAATTTCTACCTCCCATGTTTTGTATGGAGTGGGAGAAAGAGGTATGTAAAGGTCATAGAAAGGGAGAAGAGAATTAGTGAAGGAAGTGGTATACAAAACAATTGGCAGGAATGGTTAACACAACAAAGAGAAATATCATCAAGTAAATAAGCTGATGAATGAGAGTTAGTGCAGTAGATGGCAGCTCCACCTTTGTTATGAAACAGCTTCACTATCCAGCACAAACTAATACACACTAAGATGAAGGAAAACTCTACTCACACATTTAAAAAATAATTGTAATAAAAAAAAAAGTTATTTGTTGCTCACTGGAGGAGAATGACACATACTTTGAACATGTTCCGCCTACAACCATCCCAGCACCCCTGGGGCCGGAGGTATCAGTTAGCTGTATCTGGACTAAAGTAAGCAACTGGTATTGTATGAGAAATTTTAAGCTTATTATATGATGTTCTTTATTCACTTCTCTCACACACACACACACACACACACACACACACACACACACACACACACACACACACACACACACACACACACACACACACACACACACACTTTTCCTCACAAGTCATATTACTTCAATGTTTGTAGTACTAAATTTATTCTTCCAGATTTACCTTCAAGTGCGATTTAAGTTCAAAGGTCCCAAGTTGGTTCGGCCGTTCCTTCAGTTTGTGTGCTTAATGATGACCTTCTATTGCTGCCTCTCTCGTGTCTCAGACTACAAGCACCACTGGTCGGATGTTCTCTTTGGTTTTGCTCTGGGAACAACAGTGGCCATCTTAATTGTAAGTTAATCTTTGCATCATCGCACACTTTCACTTTAGTTTGGCAGTATTTTGTAATTTTTTCTATTTTTGGGTAAATCTTGTTTTTTGATTTTTTTGTGTAATTTAAATTTCTGGCTAAGTTCTTTGTTTTGAGTGAAAATCAATGTATGTAATAAGTATTTATAATGTTCACCATTAAAGTTTTATTATTATAAATTGCCTGTGACAGTGACCCTGATACAGAGATAAAGGCATTTATGTCCTCATTTTCATGACAACACGACCACCTTCTAGTCGGTGTATGTGTCGGATCTATTTAGCGGCTGGCGGGGGTATCGCCCCAAGCATCACCGTGAAGGTGTGGAGGTCATGCAGCTGCAGAACTGTAGTCGTTCGTCATCAGCAGCCAAGATTGACTTTGTATAGAGCATCTCAGGGTCAGGGTCAAATTATTATACATTATGTTTAGTCATGTGCAATAATGTGCTTTTTATAACTACATTTGCATTTTGTTTGCTTGTTATCCTGTGAGATATTCAGAAGAAACCTTAAAACATTAGGGTTTCTGGTCCATGAAACCAGAGAGTTTTATCAACAGTTTGCTACTTTCAGGAGATGTTAATGTTCTCTAGGGCTGTTTGCTCTTTACTGTACAAGGTTCTCCTGCATGTCTCGAGGCATGTTCTATGTTTTGCTTTTGATTATCATTTCCTTGTTTAAATTTTGCTATTTGATGTCTTACTTAATTTTGCATGATGGATATTTGTGGGAATTTATGCACAAACACCAAAACTAATGCATCTTATATTTCTGTCTAGGAGGTTGTAGGTTGTAACTGCTGAAGCCCATCTTTAACTAACCTGCACATAATATACATAGAGACACATGCATTGGTGTCTGTCTGTATTACATTATTTCTCACACTTGTTCAGTGACTGACTTTAAATAATAATGTACTGGATCCTCAAGTGGTTCTGTAATGGTTACACACTATGACCAAAGTTGTCACATGTGTTGAATCTCATGATAAATGCAGATTATTCTGCATGTATTATTAAAGTAATAAACCACTAATATGCATAAAGGAAAGGAGCAATGTACAGTATGTCCTGTACAGTATGTCCTGTACATTACTGTATATGTAAAGGCTTAGTGTTGTGGCAAATGGTGGCATACATTTATAGCATGTTGGGGATATGAGTTCTCCAAAAGAGTGACATATTTCTTCAAAAACAAAAGGTTCAAGATAAATGCAGTAGCATTTTTATTGGGAGGGTGATCTATCATGGCCACCCTGTCTCAGGGTGATCTATCATGGCCACCCTGTCTCAGGGTGATCTATCATGGCCACCCTGTCTCAGGGTGATCTATCATGGCCACCCTGTCTCAGGGTGATCTGTCATGGCCACCCTCTCTCAGGGTGATCTATCATGGCCACCCTCTCTCAGGGTGATCTATCATGGCCACCCATGGCCACCCTGTCTCAGGGTGATCTATCATGGCCACCCTGTCTCAGGGTGATCTGTCATGGCCACCCTCTCTCAGGGTGATCTGTCATGGCCACCCTCTCTCAGGGTGATCTGTCATGGCCACCCTCTCTCAGGGTGATCTGTCATGGCCACCTTCTCTCAGGGTGAGATTCATCATGGCCACCTCTCTCAAAGTGATCTGTCAAGGCCACCCCTCTCTCTCAGGGTGACGATCATGGCCACCCTCTCAGGGTGATCTATCATGGCCACCCCTGCTCAGGTGACCTGTCATGGCCACCCTCTCAGGGTGATCTATCATGGCCACCTCTCAGGGTGATCTGTCAGGCCACCCTCTCTCAGGGTGATCTGTCATGGCCACCCTCTCTCAGGAGACCATCATGGCCACCTCTCTGTGGGTGATCTGATCATGGCCACTCCTGTCCAGGGTGATCTGTCAGGCCACCCTCCTCAGGTGATCTATCATGTACAATCTCTCTCAGGTGATCTATCATGGCCACCCCTGTCTCAGGTGATCTGCCGCGGCCACCTCTGTGGGTGATCTATCATGGCCACCCTCTCTCTGTAAGTGATCTATCACACACCCTCTCTCTTGTGGGTGATCTGTCAGTGCCACCTCTCTCAGGTGATCATGGCCACCTCTCTCAGGGTGATTCATCGCGGCCACCCTGTCTCAGGGTGATCTGTCATGGCCACCCTCTTAGTGATCTATCATGGCCACCCTCTCAGGTGATTCCGTCACACCTTCTCAGGTGATTCCATCATGGCCACCTCTCAGGGTGATCTGTCATGCCACCTCTCAGGGTGATCTACCGCGGCCACCTTCTCTCAGGGTGATTCTGTCAGGCCACCTCAGGGTGATCTGTCATGGCCACCTCTCTGTAAGTGACCTATCGCGGCCACCTCTCAGGGTGATTCCGTCATGCCACCCCCTCAGGGTGAGTCTATCATGGCCACCCTCTCTCAGGGTGATCTATCAGCCACTCTCAGGTGATCTATCATGGCCACCCTCTCCTGTAGGTGATTCCATCATGCACAATTCCTCTCAGGTGATCTGTCAAGTACAATTCCTCTCAGGTAAGATCTGTCATGGCCACCTCTGTAAGTGATCTGTCATGGCCATATCTCTCCTGTGTGGATCTATCATGGCCACCTCTCTCAGGGTGATCTGTCAGGCCACCCTCTCAGGGTGATCTGTCATGGCCACCTTCTCTCAGGGTGATCTGTCATGGCCACCTCTCAGGGTGATCACAGGCCACCTCTCTCAGGGTGATTCTGTCATGTACACCTCTCAGGGTGATCTGTCATGGCCACCTCTCAGGTGATTCGTCATGGCCACCTCTCTCAGGGTGATCTATCATGGCCACCTCTCAGTGATCTATCATGGCCACCTCTCTGTGGGTGATCTATCATGGCCACCTCTCAGGGTGATCTGTCATGGCCACCCTCTCTCAGGGTGACGATCATGGCCACCCTGTCTCAGGGTGATCTGTCACACACCTCTCCAGGTGATCTATCATGGCCACCTCTCAGGGTGATCTGCCTGCAGCCACCTCTCTCAGGTGATCTATCATGGCCACCTCAGGGTGATCTATCATGGCCACCTCTCAGGTGATCTGTCATGGCCACCTTCTCAGGTGATCTATCAAGGCCACCTCTCTCGGTGATCTGTCACGCCACCTCTCAGGTGATTCATGTCATGGCCACTCTCTCTGTGGGTGATCTGTCATGGCCACTCCTGTCTCAGGGTGATCTGTCATGGCCACCTTCTCAGGGTGATCTGTCATGGCCACCTTCTCTCAGGGTGATCTGTCATGGCCACTTCTCTCAGGTGATCTATCATGGCCACCTCAGGGCAGACGATCATGCCACCTCTCTCAGGGTGACTCCTGTCATGGCCACTTTCTCTCAGGGTGACCATCATGGCCACCTTCTCAGGGTGATTCTCATCATGGCCACCTCTCTCAGGGTGATCTGTCATGGCCACCTCTCTCAGGGTGATCATGCCACTCTCTCAGGGTGATTCTGTCATGGCCACCCCCTCAGGGTGACCTGGTCACCTTCTCTCAGGGGTGATCTGTCATGGCCACCTCTCTCAGGGTGATCTATCACACACCCTCTCAGGGTGATCTATCATGGCCACACTGTGGGTGATCTATCATGGCCACCTCTCCTCGGTGGGGTGATTCATTTGGCCACCTCTCTCAGTGGTGATCTGTCATGGCCACCTCTCTTGTGGGTGAGATCATGGCCACCCTCTCTCAGGGTGTGATCTATCATGCCACCTCTCAGGGTGATCTGTCATGGCCACTTTCTCAGGGTGATCATCATACACCTTCAGGGTGATCTATCATGGCCAAATTCTCTCAGGTGATCTATCATGGCCACCCTCTCTCAGGTGATCTATCATTGGCCACCTCTCTCAGGGTGATCTGTCAGCGGCCACCTCAGGGTGATCTATCATGGCCACCTCTCTCAGGTGATCTGTCAGGCCACCTCACAGGGTGATCTATCATGGCCACCTCTCAGGGTGATCTATCATGGCCACCTCTCTCAGGGTGATCTATCATGGCCACCTCTCAGGTGACCCATCATGGCCACCTCTCAGGTGATTCGTCATGGCCACCTCTAGGGTGATCTATCATGGCCACCTCTCAGTGATCTGTCAAGGCCACCAGGTGATCTGTCATACACCTCTCTCAGGTGATCTATCATGGCCACCTCTCTGTGGGTGATCTACGCGCCACCCCTCTCTCAGCATCTTGCCTTGGCCACCTCTCAGGCAGATCTGATCATGGCCACCCTCTCAGGGTGATTCCACGGCACACCCTCCTCAGGGTGATTTGTCATGCCACCCTGTCTCTGAAAGTGATTCCATCATGGCCACCCTCCTAGCAGATCTGTCATACAATTCTGTCTCAGGGTGATCTGTCATACAATTCTCTAGGTGATCTGATCATACAATCTCTCAGGCAGATCTACAAGCACACCTCTCTCAGGTGATTCGTCATGGCCACCTCTCTGTAAGATTCAGTCGCGCCACCTCAGGGTGATCTATCATGCACACCTCTCAGGTGATTTGATCATGCACATCCTGTCTCAGGCGATCTGTCATGCACACCTCTCAGGTGATCTATCATGGCCACCCTCTCTCAGGGTGATCTGTCGCGCCACCCCCCAGGTGATCTGTCATGGCCACCCCCTCTCAGGGGCAAGGATCTGTCACGGCCACCCCTCTCTCAGGGTGATCTATCATGGCCACCTCTCTCAGTGATTCGTCATGGCCACCCTCTCTCAGGGTGATCTGTCATGCACACCTTCTCTCAGGGTGACCCTGTCATGGCCACCTTCTCTCAGGGTGATCTGTCATGGCCACCCTCTCTCAGGGTGATTCAGTCATGGCCACCTCTCTCAGGTGATCTGTCACGGCCACCTCTCTCAGGGTGATCTGTCATGGCCACCTTCTCAGGGTGACTCTGTCATGGCCACCTCTCCTGTAGTGATCTATCACACACCTCTCAGGGTGATCTG